CTCAAATAAACTCACAAAAATTCTTTACAGGTTTCAATGTTTTTACATTAACAAAGCTTTTGGGAGAAATGAGAGAGATCTTAGCAGTAGACCAAGCCAAGCTCCAAAATCATCTTGTAGTTTTACCAAAAAGTGAAATTTATCTCTGTATTCTTATAAGAAATATTAGTGGTATTTCCCAAAATAAAAGAAATTGCATTTTTGCACAAATATGAGAAAATAGAAAAGTTTTATTATAGTAACAATAAGCAAACAATTGAAATGGGAAGGGGAAGCAGTGTGGGGATGACCCACCCAGCAGTAAGTACTCAAGGTGTGGGGTGATGGAGGGCGGTGGCAACAGTTAATTTCACAAGAAAAGGAGAGAACTAGTTATTCAGAAAAGTGGTTACCTTGGGGTTGCTCAAAGACTTTCTACAGAAACATCTGAATACACTGAACATTGTTCTCTTAGCTGTTGAATCTCTGTCTTTTGCTCTTTCTGGCATTTCACTTAGTTGAGTTCTGAGAAATCTGTTTTTCAGACAACTCTTTTTTCTTGAATGGGCAGATGATAAGGAACTATTTCAATCCTTCAAAAGAATGTAATTCAACAAATTTATGTTCATTTAGAAAGAATTATATAAGCATTTCTAGCCATCCATTACCTAATGCAAATAATGAATTTCTTTAACCACATGGGTAAAAAGATCATTGTCATCCCAAAGGCAAAAATGTGGAGTAGAAGCCACAGGAAGAGATTATGTGTCAATCTAGAAAGACTCTAGAGAATCATTGTCTTTTGGTCTCCTGCATTCCCTTTCTCTGTCTCTAAGAAAGAGTTCAGAAGATAGGGAGAAACCATACTTTCTAGTTTGGAATTTCACAAATTGAGAATGTGTCTCATCCCTGTTAAATAAATCAAACAGATATCTACCAATTGCCAATAAGAAACTTTACTAAACACCCAATCCTGAGAACTTGAAGAAAAGAAATAGAGAACTCTGACTTTGGGTAATGAGTAATATGGGAAGGAGCACTTGAAAATATGCAGGAAACAGATTTTCAAAAAGCTTAAGTTCACCTGAATAGTCTAAAGAAAAAAGGTAAAATGGTCATTGCTATACCTATGATTATGCTAAATATACTAATATCTGCCTCACTCTCAACTTCATGTCTGGCTTCCTGCATCCTATTTAGATGGCAAGTCTCCCTTTCTACAAATATCTTCTCCATTTCTGCCTTTCTCTTTTCTTGCTCCATTTCATCCTTCAGGTTTCTGAATAGTTTTTCATATTCCTCTGTTAACTGCCTTTTCTCAATCTCCCATTCAGCTATGTATTTTTTTTGTTTCACTTGAATCTGTTTCTGAATCTCCTCCTCAGCCCTTTGGTACATCTCATCAGTGTAGAATCCTCCCTTGTTCTGCATCACTATGCGCTGGACCAGGTCCAGCAGCTGTGCCCTCTGAGCCTCCTGCTCAGCCCCTGTCGCCTTATTGTTGAACTCACAGTGACGACCCCTGAACTGCTCCATCAGATCTTGAATGCCTTTTGGAGCTTCCTTTAAGTAATCATGGAACTCAATGCCATCCAAGTCATCTATCCGGGTGAATAAGAGAATCATGTATCTCCTATCTTTGGGTCCAAACATTGATAGCATCTTCTCCACGGCCTTTTGTTCTTCCTTTGTGTACCGGCCCAGTGAGACTACCAGGAGCACAACATGAGGGCCAGGGGAAGTCAGGAGGATGCACTTAGCAATCTCTCTTTGTGTGTCAGCATCCAGTACCTCAGTGTCGAAAATACCAGGTGTGTCCACAACAACAATTTCTCTCCCATTCCACGTGCTGCTCTCTTTCTGACAGACTTTGGTGATGGATTTTGCTGCCATTCTGGAATGAAATGCTTTCTTTCCAAGGATGCTGTTCCCTGTGGCACTTTTTCCTGCTCCAGTCTTACCCACTAAGACAAGTCGCAGCTGTGAATCTCTGGGGTCTTGGTTTCCAAGCCCTGGGATATCAGGAAACAAAAACACAGCATTAGGATTGATCTCCAACATTTCCTGATGCAAGGGCCCCGCACACTTGTTTTTCTCTATTGCCCACTAGTGTCCTGTCACTGAGCCACCTCTGCACTCACAGGAGGTCTGTGGAACACCTGGGCCTCACCTCCCTCCCAAAGGAGGTGGGGAATGCTGGGAACTTCTCAGGGGTCCCTTGGGCTGCTCTCTCTGACCTGCGGAAGCTAAGTGCCCATGGAAGAAGGTGCAAAATGGTACAAGTAAGAACTCTGAGCCACGGCTGGTAGCTGTTCCTCATAAGCTAATGTAGGAAATAACACAAAATCTGACTTTGGAACATCACAGTGGAAGATCCCCTTCCCCCAAATGATATCCAAAATGGAACTTTTATTCTTTCCATTAAGAAGTCAGATAGGTGGTTGATTCAAGTCATCCCACCCTGAAAGGGAGTAAAGGGCACATGGGCAGAATGGCTAAGTGTTCCTTCATATTTCACATATGCATCCATCTTCTCAGGTATTCTGAACCACAGGAGAACAAAATGCCTTACTTTTAATTTACGACCTAAATGTAGAAACCTAATGAAGTTTTCCTATCTTAAATTAGTATATAGAAGACTTCTATCCAGGAAGTAGTGACAGTTCTCTGGAATTACTCTAAAATCCCTTGATACATAAATAATAGTAATAACAACTCATACAGAGTAGCATTAGTGGAGTTACACCTTTTTAGTTTTATTTGGTTAGACATGTCTACTTTCTAGGACACCTGGAACTTAATAACAGAACAGCATAGCCTAACGCCTGAATGATGTTTTAAAGATCACTGTGTCTTAAGTTAAACACCAAATCATCTATATAGATCTTTTTCCTCTTTCCAGTCAGTATTTCTCTGCTATCTCTTCCATGTGACTACAAAGTTGAAGCCTTCAGGATTTGTTCAGCAGAGACAGGGACCATAGAAGTCAACTGACAAGCACATCTGAGAGCCTGTTTCTCCGTGAAGGAAGACCCTGTCAGCACAGCCCTTGAGTAAAACTGACTCTTGCAGGAGGAAACCTGATTACAATGACCTGTCTCTACTTTGAGTCAATGCATACATCACCACACTGACAATATTGCTGACATGATTGTAAACTCCATTTTATTTTTCAGAGATATCATCACCATTCACCCAGTTCCTCAGACAAAACTGGGCATCTCCCTGGATTCCTCTCTTTCCCTTACCTTCCAGATCTGACCCATTGGCAAGTTCCCAAATCTGACCCCTTCTCTCCATTTTGAAGACCATCATACTAGCCCAAGCTACCATCACCATCAATGACTCAGCTAGTCCCTTAAGTGGTCCCTTTAGTTCTGTTGTGCCCTCTTTTTCTATTCTGTACATTGGAATGATTTTTTTTAAAAAAATTCAATCAAACAGGAGAGAGATTTTGCAGAACCCCGACTCTGGCTTCCAAAAAATCAGTAGTTATTCCCTATTTCCCACATACTTTAAGGTGAAGCTGTTCCTAATCCAAGGATTAGCAAAATCATTCCTAAGGCAAAGTATCCCACATCTGATAACCAGAATTCTGAGATGAAGAAGTAAATTTCCAGAAGCTGAGAGCAGTGGCAACAAGATGGCTACGTTGAAGAGAAAATGTGGGTGGGATCAAATTATTATTTAGTTAGCACCACAGTAGAAGACTCCAACCTAAGGATATCCTGAGGGCATTAGTTGGTCATCCATAGAGAAGTAGGAAAATCAAGGGAGGTGAAATGAAAAGTCACCAAAGGCCAGATCCAACACCGCAACAATTTGCCAATGCTGATAGCATATGGCAGTCTGTGTGATAGACTGCAGAGATGGCCATGAATTAATCCCAGGTCTGTACACAAGTCTCTTGAGCATGTGGATCTGCAGCTCCTCCCACAAGGTGCTGAGTCTGTTTCTCCACCCCTTGCATCTGGGTGGGGCCTGTGACTTGGTCTGGGCAATAGGGCAGTAGAAGCATGATGCTAGTACACCCCAAAAGTGCTGATGCCCTGGGGCTTGATGTCCCTTGCTCTTCAGAA